CTTCCCCTTTCTAAGCCTCAGTTTCCTCATCTATAAAATGGGAATCCTAATAGAACCTACCTCTTAGGATTGCTCTGAGAATTTGCTATCAAGCATACTGTCTCATATTCTCAAGCACAGCAGAGACTCAAGAAGTTAGAAAATTTCAATAAGGACAAATAAATTAAAAGCTACTCATAGCTGGGTGCGGCAGCATACACTTGTAGTCTCAGCTGCTGGGGAAGCTAGGGTAGGAGGATCACTTGAGACTTAAGAGTTCAAGTCTGCAGTGAACTATGATTGGACCACTGCACTGCAGCCTGGGTGACAGAGTGAGACCACATCTTTTTTTAAAAAAAGGAAAAAAAGGTATCGGCCGGGCGCAGTGGCTCACACCTATAATCCCAGCACTTTGGGAGGCTGAGGTGGGTGGGTCACCTGAGGTCAGGAGTTCAAGACCAGCTTGGCCAACATAGTGAAACCCCATCTCTACTAAAAATAAAAAAAATTAGCCAACTATGGTGGCACATGCCTGTAATCCCAGCTACTTGTAAGGCTGAAGCAGGAGAATTGCTTGAACCCGGGAGACTGAGGCTTCAGTTTCACTGCACTCCATTGCGCCACTGCACTCCAACCTGGGCAACAGAGCAAGACTCCGTCTCAAAAAAAAAAAAGTATCAGCCTGGCGCAGTGGCTCACGCCTGTAATCCCAACACTTTGGGAGACTGAGGCAGGCAGATCACCTGATGTCAGAAGTTTGAGACCAGCCTGGCCAACGTGGTGAGACCGCGTCGCTACTAAAACTATAAAAATCAGCCGGGCATGGTGGCAGGTGCTTGTAATCCCAGCTACTCGGGAGGCTGAGGCAGGAGAATCACTTGAACCTGGGAGGTGGAGGTTGCGGTGAGCTGAGATCGTGCCATTCCACTCTAGCCTGGGCAACAGGGCAAGACTCGGTCTCCAAAAAAAAAAAAAAAGAATAAAGGTATCTACTGAGGTCCTACTCTGTTCACTGGGTTAGGCGCTGGGGCTCCTGTGGGGAAGGAAACAAGCAGTTGTCCTTCCCTGCGTGGAGTCAAGTCCAGCCGTGGGCTCCAGTAGAGCAAACCACCTTTCCTGTTCTTTCCTTCTCAGGGTCCCCTCCTAACCGTAAGCGTCCTGCTAACGAGAAGGCAACTGATGACTATCATTATGAGAAGTTCAAGAAGATGAATAGGAGGTACTGAGCTGTGCAGAGTGGGTTGTAAATATTGCTTTCCTCTCCCTACACCCCCTCTTGAGAAATGGCTTCCTGGACACAGCGTGCTCATTTGCCAGCAGACAGTTCTGGAAACAGACTCTATTAGTCCTTCTGCTTACCTGCTGGATTTTTCAAGCACGAAATTTATAACTTTTGGAAACAAAACCGTATGTAATTTTCCACCTGGGGGCAAACTCTTATTCTTGTGAGCATTATTAAATCTTGTTTTTAAATATATTGACTTTCTCTTAATACTTGCTCTGGGTCAGGAAGAAACTGTGTTCAGGGTGTGATAATACCCTTTAGATTGTGCTTTCATTATCATTATATATGCATCATGTCTTCTGCTTTCACATATCTGGGATGGGGTCAGAAATGCTGCCTCCATTGATTACAGTGGGTCCAGCTGACAGAAAAATCTAGGATGAGATGAGAAGGATACTGGTGTTTTCTGACCTTTACAAAATTACTTGTTTTCATTAAAAAAGAAAAAGCAAAAACTATGTTTCTTATTACTATTAGAATTTAATTATTAAATACAAAATGAGTCCAACCTTACTGTTTGTATTGTGTTTCCTCATAAGAACGTCAGGGAATGTTGTCAAAGCTCAGGGTTTGTGTAGTGCAAATGTCAAGCTGAATTACCAAGACGGATTTTCTCATTCATTTCAAAAGTCATGGACATGCGGCAACCTGCTAACTGTCAAGTAGCTTCTTACATACGCCCTCATTTTTCCTGAGGCATCCACATGGGTCTGGAAGAGGACAGAGCAGATCGGCTGACTTCTGGGGGGCTAGAGCAAGAATTGTGGTTACAGTGGTTTGGCCCAGGAGTCAGATCTGAGCCCAGCTCACGGCTTACTAATTGTAGCCTTGGACAGATCCTTTTCACTCTTGGCCTCAGTTCTCTCATCTGTGATGTTGGGAACCAGCCCAACCCTGTGCGTGGGTGCCCCGTGTCCCGGCAGTGACAAGGGAATGAGAAATAAAGACACAAGGATAGAATTTTAAAGCAGGGGTCCAACGCACTCTCATGGGGTGATCTGTGTTGGCATCGAGCTCTGGGCTCCAAGTGCTTTTATGAGGTATCTTGTTAATATTGCAGGTTGTGGGGAGGGGGGTTGAGGAAGACAGCTGGAGGAAGGGCACATGTCTGCAGCATTCAACAGCATGCTAACTAAGGACACAGACTTTACCACCCATTGTCTATCCAGGTGTTTTGGCAAGAGAGGTGCAGCAGATAAGGCACCATAAGGTCTGACCACACCCAATGCATCAAGAGGCTTTTATCTCCCCAGCATTGTGGACACAGAGCAATTGGAATTGCTCCATATTCTGAGAACATACAGCCTGTGGCGTTCTGGTGTCTCTGCCTTACAAGGCTTTCCGGCCTTACTAGCACCCATCTGCGAAGACCCTCCCGAGTCTTAAGAGCAGATGTTGCATTTCCTTCCCAGAGTGTTTTGCATAAGCTCCCTTTACAAGATCCTTAAACAAACTCTATGTTGGGAAGATATGTGTGACCAAAGCAGTTTTTCCTGCTCTGCAGCCACACCGCAGTGTTCCGGGGTTCTAGGGCGCTCTCAGATGGTCTTTACCACAGGCCTCCTGTTACCGCTTGATCTCACTTTTATTTTAACTGCACCATAGTTTGGATGTGATCCATGGCGCAAATCTCAGTGTATAAAAAGCAAAGCAAGCTTGCAATCATTTAACTGTAAGTAACACAGGTCTGCCCCTGGCCATCTCTTCCCACACATGGGGGATGTCCTTCCAAAGAGTACAGAATAGAGGGGAGGGGAGAAGAGTAAGCGTACAGTGGGGAGACTTGACAAACACTACGCCAGTCAAGTGATCAAGTCAGCGCCAACAGTGATAAGTAATGTTGACGGTAAGAACCCTCCCTTGGTAGGATAAGTTGAGCATAGCACTTTACCTCTGTGATTGTCCTTCCAAAACCCCGTAACACTAGTTGAATCCTGAGAAAAACATCAGATTCCAATAGAGGGCCAGCCTACCAAAGATTTGGCCAGTACTCCTCAAACTGTCAAGGTCATCAAAAATAAAAGGCAGAGGCCAGACACGGTGGCTCACACCTGTAATCCCAGCCCTTTGGGAGACCAAGGTGAGTGGATCACGAGGTCAGGAGATCAAGACCAGCCTGGTGAACATGATGAAACCCCGCATCTACTAAAAATCCAAAACTTAGCCGGGCATGGTGGTGTGTGTCGGTAATCCCAGCTACTCCGGAGGCTGAGGCAGGAGAATCACTTGAACCTGGGAGCCGGAGGTTACAGTGAGCTGAGACCACACCACTGCAATACAGATTAAAAATAAATAAATAAAAATAAAAGGCTGAGACACTGCCACTAACAAGAGTCTAAGACATGACAACTAAATGTAATGTGGTATCCTGAACGGAAACTGCCAGGTCTCCATATGCAAGCCTGGAGTCTGAAAGTCTCAAGTCCTGCTCGCCTTGGCTGATTCCTCCCACCCGCAGCCTGCGTTCGCCATTGTCCCTGATCGCCCCGCAGCAGAGCTTCCCCGGACAAGCCCCTCACCCAACCCTGCCATCTTAACTGTTCTTATGATAATGTAAATACCTCTCACCCAACCCTGCCATTGTAACTGAACTTGTGGTCATGTATACTCCCTTGCCCCTACCCCCCACCACTGTAACTGAACTTACTCTGCACACCCCCGACCCCCTCAAAAACAACCCAAACCTATAAAACCAACTTCTATCCCACTGCCCTTTGCTAATGCCCTTTTCGGCCTTAGCCCACCTGCACCCAGGTGAATAAACAGCCACGTTGCTCACACAAAGCCTGTTTGGAAGGTCTCTTCATTCAAAGCGCGGGTTTTTCAACAGAAACCTGGAGCGGAAAAAGGCATTCAGTAAAAGGAAGGAAATCCGAATAAACTGTACACTTTAGTTAACATAACAACAGTGCTTCATTAATTGTAACAAATGTAGCACACTAACAATTTAGGATTTTTTTTTTTTTTTTTTTCTGAGACGGAGTTTCACTCTTGTTGCCCAGGCTGGAGTGCAATGGCGCGATCTCGGCTCACCGCAACCTCCGCCTCCTGGGTTCAGGCAATTCTCCTGCCTCAGCCTCCTGAGTAGCTGGGATTACAGGCACGCGCCACCATGCCCAGCTAATTTTTTGCATTTTCAGTAGAGACGGGGTTTCACCATGTTGACCAGGATGGTCTCGATCTCTTGACGTCGTGATTCACCCTCCTCGGCCTCCCAAAGTGCTGGGATTACAGGCTTGAGCCACCGTGCCCGGCCTAATTTAAGATTTTAATAACGGGAAATTGCAGGGAGGGGTGGCACATGGGAACTCTGTACTATTTTCTCAATTATTCTGCAAAACTGTTCTAAAAACTAAAGTCCATTACTTTTTTGGCGGGGAGGGAACAGAGACTCACTCTGTCACCCAGGCTGGAATGCAGTGGTGCAATCTCAGCTCACTGCAACCTCCGCCTCCCAGGTTCAAGCGATTCTTATGCATCAGCCTCCCCAGTGGCTGGAACTACAGATGCACACCACCACACCGGCTACTTTTATATCTTTAGTAGAGACGTGGTTTCACCATGTTGGTCAGGCTGGTCTGGAATTCCTGATCTCAGGTGATCCACCCGCCTCAGCCTCCCAAAGGGCTGGGATTACAGGCATGAGCCACCACGCCCGCAAAAATAACGTCGATTACTTCAAACAAACAAAAACACGTGGCCGACAGGGGCTGTGCAGAACAGACCTTCCGGAAGCAAAACAAGGCTTTGTCCCGAACAAAGATGGCGGCCGCCGGGGTCGGTAGGAGGGCTGCCCTGAAGAAAGATGGCCTCCGCCGCAGGAGGAACCGGAAGCGCGGGTCTGGCGGCGGCACTAGTGCGCGGTTAGCGCCAGAACGCGCAGGGCGGCGCGGGTCCGGGTATGAAGCTGGGCCGGGCCGCGCTGGGCCTGCTGCTGCTGGCGCCGTCCGTGGTGCAGGCGGTGGAGCCCATCAGCCTGGGACTGGCCCTGGCCGGCGTCCTCACCGGCTACATCTACCCGCGTCTCTACTGCCTCTTCGCCGAGTGCTGCGGCCAGAAGCGGAGCCTCAGCCGGGAGGGTAGGATGGGGAGGGGGCTGGAGGCTGGGGCTGGGCGATGGCACTAGGGCCAGGCCGGGACCGGGGGATGGAGGCTGGGGGATGGGGGATGGCACTAGGGCCAGGCCGGGATCGGGGTCAAATCCCAGGACGGCCGGGCCTGGGCAGAGCTGCGTCCACGGGGGCCGAACCCCGGAAGCCGAGCGGCCCGCCTGCAGGGTGAGGCCTGGCTCCTTGGCCACGACCACAGACGGGCCGGACTTCAGTCGGTGACCTGAGGGGCCGGGCTGCAGATTGCGCCAAGCTGGGCACGGCGGGATCCGGTGGTAACCTCCCTCTGAAGAGGGTTCTGCCTCTTTTCTAGCCTAGCGGGAGACAGGGAGGGTGGTGAGGACTCTTCCGGGGCCGGCAGGAGCGGCCGAACTGCTTCCTTTCCTCGCTCTGCCTTGGGGTGGGAGGAGCAGCGCGGGAGTTAGGGGTGCAAACTGGTGGCTGTGGCATTGGCACCGAGGCGCTTTTCGGGAAGGAACCGGGCCCGGGCTTTAGAATAGACAGGACCAGCAAAGGGAGAGCTCCCTGGACCGCCGTCCCCACTGGGCCAGGAGCTTACAGCCCGCAGTACAGTACTCGAGGTTTCCCAAGGTGCTTGAGCGCCTAGGCGGCTCTGCTGGCTTTCTCACGAGCTGTAGATGTGGCTACATTTTGCCACTGTTTCTTCCCCACTCCTGATTGCCTTTGTCTTTCCAGCGCTGCAGAAGGATCTGGACAACAAGCTCTTTGGACAGCATCTTGCAAAGAAAATCATCTTAAATGCTGTATTTGGTTTCATAAACAACCCAAAGCCCAAGAAACCTCTCACCCTTTCCCTGCATGGGTGGACGGGCACCGGCAAAAATTTCGTCAGCAAGATCATCGCGGAGAATATTTACGAGGGTGGTCTCAACAGTGACTATGTCCACCTGTTTGTGGCCACACTGCACTTTCCACATGCCTCAAACATCACCTTGTACAAGGCAAGGATGGAAGTTTGGGACCCTTTCCTGGATGTCGTGGAGTTTGGGATCTCTTTGTTGTGGGATGAGATTTGGGAATTCTGTGTTGAAATGAATGAGTCCTGAAAATGGTTCACGTCTCAGTTCCCCTTTTGAAAGGTGTAGAAATTACAGAGAGTTTGCAGTTAACACCATCAAAGCTACATTGTGGTGGGTTTTGGAAACAGGTCCAGTGAGTATGTACGGTCATGGAATTTTAGAGGCGGACGTGATCAGATCCATCTTAGAGATCATCACCTCTCACTCCTTTTCTTTCTTTTTGTTTTCTTTTTTTGGGCGTGAAACGGAGTTTCATTCTTGTCGCCCAGGCTGGAGTGCAGTGGGGTGATCTCAGCTCATTGCAACCTCCACCTCCCGGTTGAAGCAATTCTCTTACCTCAGCCTCCTGAGTAGCTGGGATTACAGGAATGTGCCACCATACCCAGCTAATTTTTGTATTTTTAGTGGAGATGGAGTTTTGGCAAGTTGACCAGTGTGGCCTCGAACTCCTGACCTCACGTGATCTGCCCGCCTCGGCCTCTCAAAGCGCTGGGATTACAGGCATGAACCACCATGCCCAGACACATCTCATTTATTTTGTGAAAGAGGAAACATGTAGCAAGTCCTAAGTTTGTTGAAAGAACCTACTGCCTCCAAACTGCTTTTTTTTTTCTTTGAGACAGGGTCTCACTCTGTTGTCCAGGCTGGAGTGCAGTGATGCCATCTTGACTCACTGCAACCTCCGCCTTCTGGGTTTAGGTAATTCTCCTGCCTTATCCTTCCAAGTAGCTGTGACTACAGATGTGCACCACCACACCCAGCTAATATTTGTATTTTTAGTAGAGACAGAGTTTCCCCATGTTGGCCAGGCTGGTCTTGAACTCTTGACCTCAAGTGATCCGCTCACCTCAGCCTCCCAGAATGCTAGGATTATAGGCGTGAGCTACCTCACCCAGCCGCAAACTGCTTTTATGGTTGAACTCACTGATTAGCAGCTTGGGCTTTGGCAGCAGACACGCCTGGATTTGAGTCTTAACTTTCCTAGCTCCATAGTCTTGGGAAAGTTGCCTGATCCGAGACATAGGTTCTGACTTAAAGCATTGTTTGTAACAATCTAGGGAGTTCTGTCAAGTGTGTAACATGTGCCTGGTGCATGTTACAAACAGATGTTAACTGTTGCCTTATGATCCTTGTAACAGACCTGCAAGATGGGCAAAACAATCAGTTTTTAATTTATTTTATTTGAGACTGAGATCTTGTGTTGTTCAGGTTGGAGTGCAGTGGTGCGATCTTGGCTCACCAAAAACTCTGCCTCCTGCGTTCAAGCTTTTCTGCCTCAGCCTCAAGTAGCTGGGATTACTGGCGCCTACCACCATACTCAGATAATTTTTGTATTTTTAGTAGAGATGGGGTTTCACCATGTTGGCCAGGCTGGTCCTGAACTCCTGACCTCAGGTGATCCACCTGCCTCGGCCTCCCAAAGTGCTGGGATTATAGGCATGAGCCACTGCACCCGGCTGCAATCAGTTATTTATCCCTGACTCTTCATAGGAAAAGTGTGGACACATTTTTCTTTTTCTCTTTTTTTTTTTTAATATTGAGTCTCACTCTTGTTACTCAGGCTGGAGTGCAGTGGCGCAATCTAGGCTCACCACAACCTCCGCCTCCTGGGTTCTAGTGATTCTCCTGCCTCAGCCTCCTGAGTAGCTGGGATTACAGGCATGCACCGTCATGCCCGGCTAATTTTGTATTTTTAAGTAGAGATGAGGTTTCTCCATGTTGGTCAGGCTGGTCTCGCATTCCTAACCTCAGGTGATCTGCCTGTCTCAGCCTCCGAAAGTGCTGGGATTACAGGCATGAGCCACTGCGCCCAGACACATTTTTCCCTTCTGTCTGGGTGAGCAGGTGTGTCACCCCACTGTTCAGTGGTTCTGTACTAAAATGGGAATGTTCTACGGATGTGGTGGCTCACCCCTATAATTCTAGCACTATGGGAAGCTGAAACAGGCTTATGACTTGAGCTCAGGAGTTCTAGACCAGCTTGGGCAACATGGTAAAACCCCATCTCTACTAAAAAAATCCAGAAAATCTATTCAGGCGTGGTGGCACGCACCTGTAGTCCCAGGGGGACTGAGGCAGAAGGATGGCTTGAACCTGGCAGGTTGAGGCTGCAGTGAGCACAGAGCGACTGCACTCTGGCCTGGGCGACAGTGAGGTCCTGTCCCAAACAAACAGGAACCGTTCTAGACAAATCAGGATGAGTTGGTCATCTTAGAACTGAGGCTTCACTAAGAATAACTGTGTCTTTGGGCAAGTTACTTCACTTGTTTGTGCCTCAGTTTCCTCATTTGTAAAAGGAGCACAACAGTAACTACTGTGATGGATTTTAGGAGGTCGCAGTAGAATGTTTAATGAACAGGCCAGGTATGGTGGCTCATGCTTGTAATTCCAGCACTTTGTGAGGCCAAGGCAGGGGGATCATTTGAGGTCAAGAGTTCAAGACCAGCCTGGCCAACATGGTGAAACCCCATCTCTACAAAAATAGAAAAATTAGTTGGGTGTGGTGGCAGCTGCTTGTAATCACAGCTACTCAGGAGGCTGAGGGAAGGGAATCACTTGAACCTGGGAGGCGGAGGTTGCAGTGAGCCAAGATCACACCACTGCACTCCAGCCTGGGCAACAGAGTGAGACTCTGTCTCAAAAAATATATATATGGGCTGGGCGCGGTGGCTCACGCCTGTAATCTAAGCACTTTGGAGGACAAGGCGGGTGGATCACCTGGGGTTGGGAGTTCAAGACCAGCCTGACCAACATGGTGAAACCCTGTTTTTTAGAAAAAAAAAAAAAAAAAATATATATATATATATATATATATATATGTATATGAATGAACAGCGCTTAGAATATTGCCATGCCCATAGTGAGTGCTCAGTACATGTTTCCTATTATCACGTATAAATTAGGTCACCAGAGTGGGAAAAGCTTGGCTGCTGGAGCTTAACAGGTCTGAGTGAATCCTTGTTTATTTTATGTATTTTTTATTTTCATTTTCTGAGATGGAGTCTTGCTCTGTCACCCAGGCTGCAGTGCAGCGCGGCAATCTCGGCTCACTACAACCTCTGCCTCCTGGGTTTAAGCGATTCTCAAGCCTCAGCCTCTGGAGTACCTGGGATTACAGGTGCCTGCCACCATGCCCAGCTAATTTTTGTATTTTTAATAGAGGGGCTTTTACCATGTTGGCCAGGCTGGTCTCGAACCCCTGACCTCAACTGATCCACCTGCCTCAGCCTCCAGAAGTTCTGGGATTACAGGTGTGAGCCACCACGCCCAGCCCCACCCCCTTTTTAAATAAAGATCAGTATCCTCCTGACATCCCACATGACCTCTTTGGTGACAAAAGAGCCGCAGCTCTCAGCATCCATGTGGTGTCTTGCAGCGCAGGAATCAAAGTGTCAGGCTTTGGTGTCAGGCAGGACTGCGTTCAGGTCCCAGCTCTGCCACGTACTCATTTTACAGTCTTGGGCAAGTGGAATAGCTTTCTCTGTGCCTCAGTTTTCTCATCTGTGAAATGCGTATGAGAGTGCCCACTCCATGGGGATGTTAGAAACAGAGAAGATTTTGCACACGTGAAGTTCTTGGTGCTGAGGGCACAGTGGTCTGTAAGTGAAGCTGTGGCTATCAGTGGTAGAAGGAGCTGCCCAATGGCCCTGGCTGAGAACTTTTTGTTGGCTTTTTCCTCTTCTTCAGGACCAGTTACAGTTGTGGATTCGAGGCAACGTGAGCGCCTGTGCGAGGTCCATCTTCATATTCGATGAAATGGATAAGATGCATGCAGGTCTCATAGATGCCATCAAGCCTTTCCTTGACTACTACGACCTGGTAGATGGAGTCTCCTACCAGAAAGCCATCTTCATATTTCTCAGGTAAGGTCAGGTCTAGGACATGATGGATGGGCCCCGAGCCTGAGCCTCTGAGCTCTGGGAGAAAACCCCGTCCTTACCCACTGGAACTGTTTTGCAGCAATGCTGGAGCAGAAAGGATCACAGATGTGGCTTTAGATTTCTGGAGGAGTGGAAAGCAGAGGGAAGACATCAAGCTCAAAGACATTGAACACGCCTTGTCTGTGTCGGTTTTCAATAACAAAAACAGTGAGTAGGGCTGTCCACCACCAGTTCCATCTGGTTCCTAATCCTGCACCCTAATTGTGAAAGTGCTAGGATCACCGTCACCATCACCCGGGAGCTGGGTAGAAATGTCGATTCTCAGTTCCCTTCCGAGTCAGAACTCACGAGGGGAATCTTTGTTGACAAACTCCAGGTAACTTTAATGAACACTGATGTTTGAAAAGTGCTGTTTTATTTTTATTTTTTTGGAGACAGTTTCACTGTTGCCCAGACTGGAGTGCAGTGGCATGATCTCGGCTCACTGCAACCTCTGGCTTCCGTGTTCAAGCAATTCTTGTGCCTCAGTCTCCCTTTTAGCTGGGATTACAGGTGCATACCACCATACCCTGCTAATATTTATATTTTTAGTAGAAACGGGGTTTTATCATGTTGGCCATGCTGGTCTTGAACTCTCGACCTCAGGTGATCTGCCTGCCTTGGCCTCCCAAAGTGCTGGGATTATAGGCTTGAGCCACTGCGCCCAGCTTATCTTTTGAGACAGGATCTTGGTCTGTCACTCAGGCTGGAGTGCAATGGTGTGATCTCAGCTCACTGGAGTCTTGACCTCTTAGGCTCAAGCAAACCTCCAGCCTTAGCCACCCACGTAAGTGGACCCACAGGCTTGTGCTGCTGTCTCTCTTTTTGTAGAGACGGGGTCTTCCTGTGTTGCCCAGGCTGGTCTTGACTTCCTGGACTCAGGTTATCCTCCCGTCTCAGCCTCCCAAAGTGCTGGAATTACAGGCATGGGCTACCACACCTGGCCTGCTATTTTAAGTAATGAGGAAAATTACTGATCATTGAGATCTTGAAGATTAGTTCCCCACTCCCTTTTTTTTTTTTTGAGACGGAGTTTTGCTCTCGTTACCCAGGCTGGAGTGCAATGGCGCAATCTCGGCTCACCACAACCTCCGCCTCCTGGGTTCAGGCAATTCTCCTGCCTCAGCCTCCTGAGTAGCTGGGATTACAGGCACACGCCACCATGCCCAGCTAGTTTTTTGTATTTTTAGTAGAGACGGGGTTTCACCATGTTGACCAGGATGGTCTCGATCTCTCGACCTAGTGATCCACCCGCCTCGGCCTCCCAAAGTGCTGGGATTACAGGCTTGAGCCACCACGCCCGGCCTTTAGCTACATGATTTTCTTTGTAGAAGAAACAGCCAGTGGTTGAGCAAGGAAGGCTGCCGTGGGCAGCGCAAGGGGAGGGATGACCTGTTAGTTACTCCCTTTCTCTGCATTGCCCAAGGGCAACAGCCAAGTCATGGCCGGACCCTTACTTTGTACTGGGTGCCGTGTGAAACACTGTGCCTGTGGATTTCACTCAGTCTTCCCCATATCTTGTAGGGTAGACTGAGACTCAAAGATATATGGCAGCTTGCCCAAGGCCAGGCAGCCTGGGAATCTTAGACCTTTGACCTTGAACCCAGGGAGGTGTAAAGCCAGCTTGATGGAGGCTGACTCACTAGCTGAGACTTGTGAGTTGTACAGGGCTATTCAAGTCTTTGCTCCTCAGGTTCTGGAGATGACAGAACAGAAGGGCACATTTGAAACAGACTTGCCAGGAAGTTCATACTACAGTTAGTGAACAGCATGGGGCACTCTATGTCAGTTTGTGCAAGCGGAGTACTACTGAGGCAAGACAAGTATTTTGTAACATGCTGGACAGTTTCTTGGCTTGCCAAAAAACATGCACACATGCAGCAGAAACCGTAGCCTAATGCTGAGGTGGATGAGGCCAGTGACCTAGAACCCACACAGTGGAGGTTACAGGGCATTCAGGAGTGCAGACTTGAGAGTCGGGCAGCCCTGGCCCACAGACTGACTGTGGCGTCGGGTAGATGGCTGAACACTCATTCGGCAAACGTATGTGGAGAATCTGGTAGGTTCCAGGAATCGTACCTAGGACTGGGGATAGCCATGAACAAACGCGGGAATTCTTGCCCTTAGGCCAGGTGCAGTGGCTCACACCTGTAATCCCAGCACTTTGGGAGGCCAAAGTGTGTGGATCACCTGAGGTTGGGAGTTCAAGAACAGCCTGACCAACATGGAGAAACCCCATCTCTACTAAAAATACAAAAATTAGTCCGGCATGGTGGCACATGCCTGTAATCCCAGCTACTCGGGAGGCTAAGGCTGGAGAATCGCTTGAACCTGGGAGGCAGAGGATGCAGTGAGCTGAGATTGTGCCATTGCACTCCAGCCTGGGCAACAAAAGTAAGAGTCCATCTCAGAGAAAATAAAAGAAATTCTTGCCCTTATAGATCTTACATCCTAGTGATAAGAAAGAAAGAAAATGGGCCAGGTGCAGTGGCTCATGCCTGTAATTCCAGCACTTTGGGAAGTCAAGGCAGGCGGATCATGAGGTCAGGAGTTCAAGATCAGCCTGGGCCAACACGTTGTAACCGCGTCTCTAAGAAAAATACAAAAAGTAGCCAGGCGCAGTGGCTCACGCCTATAATTCCAGCACTTTGGGAGGCTGAGGCGGGCAGATCACTAGGTCAAGAGATCGAGACCATCCTAGTCAACATGGTGAAACCCCGTCTCTACTAAAAATACAAAAAATTAGCTGGGCGTGGTGGCCCGTGCCTGTAATCCTGTAATCCCAGCTACTCAGGAGGCTGAGGCAGGAGAATTGCCTGAACCCGGGAGGCGGAGGTTGCGGTGAGCCAAGGTCATGTCATTGCACTCCAGCCTGGGTAACAAGAGCGAAACTCCGTCTCAAAAAAAAAAAAAAAAAAAAAAATACAAAAATTAGCAGGGTGTGGTGGCGAGTGCCTGTAATCCCAGCTACTCAGGAGGCCAAGGTAGGAGAATCGCTTGAACCTGGGAGGTGAAGGCTGCAGTGAGGTGAGACCATGCCATTGCACCCCAGCTTGCCTACACAGCAAGACTCTGTCAAAAAAAAATAAAAAAGAAAGAAAGAAATGAGAAGAAAGAGAAAAGAGAGAGTATCAGATGGTGGGGGATACATATGTTTATGTATTTAATGTGTTCATGTGTGTATATACATGCAGTACATATGCACACATCACACATGGACACACATAAACATAAATATCTTTCTCCTTAGGGCTCAGAGGGGAAAAAAATCAAGAAAGGCTTTGGGGTACAGGGTAAGGCTGGGCTCTACTTTAATAGAGTGGTCAGGGAAAGCTCACTTTGAGGGTGGCATTTGGGCTGACCTGGGGCCGTGAGCCAAGTGGATGTCTGAGGGAAAGCATTCCCCAGAGCCAGCAGCACCTCCAGGGGTCTGAGGGGGCCTGTGCTTGGGTCACTATGACTGGTCCAGAATAAACAGGAGGGGAACAGGAGGTGATAGAAGAGGTGAGATTTGGGGTGGAGATATGGACCGTGGAAAGCCTTGTGGGCCATGTGAGCCTTGGTTTTTATTCGAAGTGGAAGAGAGAGGCAGCAGGGTCCGGGGCAGGCAGTGCTGTGATCTGACGGGGCCTTCACAGGACCTTGCTGGCCACTGGGTGGAGGACAGACCCACAGTCCCAGGGGCAGGGAGCTGAGCACGGAAGCGGTGGTGGAGACACGGTCGGGTTCTGGATGTGTGCTGAAGGTAGAACCTGTAAGACTACCTGCAGAATTGTACATGGGAATGAGAGAAGAACCAAGGACCTGGCTTGAGTGATGGGAAGGGTGGCCCTGCTATTGACAGGAAGTGACAGCAAGAAGGATGGATGAGCTTGGTGAGCAATGGCATCTGGGGCATCAGAGCAGAGTGGCGGAGCTCCGGCCTTCAGGCTAGGAGGGCAAACCTGGGAGTCCTCAGGAGATGCTTGTAACGTCTCAGGGCTGCCTGAGGTCACCTGTTCTGCCGACACTCCCCGCTCCGTGTGGCTGGGTCGTAGTTGTTTGGGCACTGCCCTGAGGTCCTGCCCAGCCCGGCTTCGCAGGAGCACCTGGCCCTCACCTCCCGCCCTCGTGTCTGTTCTGTGTGGCATTCGCCGCTCCCAGCACCATCTGAGATTGTTTCCTAGCACAATTGTCAGGTGTCTCCTGCCCTAGAGTGGTCAAGCCGTGAGGGCCAGCTGCCCTCAGCTGTGTCCCCAGGCCCAGGGCATGCGTGGCACAGAGCAGGCCTCCGAGAACGAGCCTCCCACGTGAGTCACAATAGCAAGACCGCCCCTTGTTCCTGTTCAGTGGCTGGTTCTGTTCCTTCCCTGGCCACGGACTCCACTCTATCGAGTCGGCCACACAGTTATTGAGCACCAGTTGTGTGCAAAGCACTGTTGGGCATGAAAAGCATTAACCCAGTGATTGAGGAGGAGCTTGGGTTGGGGACTGAGCCCCGAAATTACCTGGCAGAGCAGAAGGGAAACAGCTCACGGGAAGACACTCATGGGCTGGTGGACCATGCAGTGTGTGTGTGTGTCATCTGGGGCTGGGAGTGGGCGTCCTGGGTCAGGAGTTCCAGGAGCGCAGGAGTAGTAGACCGGGCAGGTGCAGAGCCTGTCCTCACTCGGGAGAAAACACGGCCGAGGCCAGGCCTTCATGGAGAGCCCAGTGTGGGCTCAGCACTCCCGCAGCTAGTCTTGGTGCCCACATGCTCTCTAGGGGTTGGGCACTGTGGCAGCGGCAGCAGGCTTCTACCCTGTTGCTGGTCCAGCTGTTGAAACTCCAGGAGAGTCAAAATTTTCCCAAGTAAGGGGGTGTGGCTGGTAGAGTCCTTCCTGGAACTCTTCCTGCTTCTGCTTTCTGTGGAACTCTGCCTTCCCCACTCCACATCTCTGCTTATTCCTGGGCCCAGCACCCTGGGCTCGTGACCTTCTTTCCCACCTCCGATCTCTAAGTCACACCTTGGGGGGCCTTCCCCAGATGCAGTGTAAAGAGGGTGTCCCTTTCCACTCTGTCACAGAAGCATCTCAGTGTGCAGGTGCCTGTTAAGATCTGCTCCTGATTGGATCCGGAGCTTCACAAGGGAGAGGGCACACCCAGTAGATGTGTGTGGAATGGATGGGAGGGTGGGTGACCCCCAGAAGACAAGTGTGGGACGGCTGGGAGGGTGAGTGTATAGGTGGGTGACCCCCAGTAGATGTGTGTGGGTAGGGTGGGTGAGCCAGCCCAGGAAAAATGCACAGGGCGGGCGGGTGGATGTGGATGTGGATGAACAACACCTTGTTTTTTTCTTCCCAGGTGGCTTCTGGCACAGCAGCTTAATTGACCGGAACCTCATCGATTATTTTGTTCCCTTCCTCCCCCTGGAATACAAACACCTAAAAATGTGTATCAGAGTCGAAATGCAGTCCCGAGGCTATGACATTGATGAAGACATTGTAAGCAGAGTGGCTGAGGAGATGACATTTTTCCCCAAAGAGGAGAGAGTTTTCTCGGATAAAGGCTGCAAAACTGTGTTCACCAAGTTAGATTATTACTACGATGATTGACAGCCATGAATGACAGCGAGAGTCACTGCCTGGAGTTGGAGAGGAACCTCCACACTCAGTCCTTCCAGTGCCTCTGCCCCCTGCTCCTTTCCCTGAGGAGGACTCAAGTGAATGTTTCCTGTTTGATGTGACAGGAATTCTCCAGACATGGTTTCCATCCCTGGTGCCTGCAGGCCACCTTGGGACCATGGGCGAAGACAGGCGGCCTCCCGAGCCCTCAGAGAAGGAAGGCGCCAGCTCCCAGCACACTCATCGCAGGGCTCATGATTTTTTAAAAATTATGTTTTAATTCCAAGTGTTTCTGTTTCAAGGAAGGATGAGTAAGTTTTACTGAAAATGTGATAACTTTATTTAAAATGGTTTTTAACATTGTGAGAGACTGCTCAGATTCTGAGTTGTTGGCCTTGTGTGTGTTTTTTAAGTTCCCGTCCATAACATATACTGTGCTGTATCTTTACTGCAAATGAGCCCAGGCGCACGTGCATGGCATGGGTTCCACAGGAGGGCATCGCTGGGGATGTGGCTGGAGCACAGGATGGTCCCAGCAGGCGCTGCCAGGGGCCATGAAGTGTTTAGATGAAGGACAAGTAGGTAAGAGGAGGCCTTTAGGCACTGCAGAGAAAGCTGAAATGGCCTCACCAAGGGTTTTAACCTTCACAACAGTGGGTGCGGTGGGAATGATCTTGGCAACATTGTCAACAATTGTTAGAAAAGCATTTGCAGCTTGTCACTTCCCAGTCACTCGTGTTGCAGAAGGTGGCCCTTCACTATCCATTCCTGAATGAGCCACATCTGCTCTCTGCTGGATTCTAAATTATGTGAATTTTGCCATATTAAATCTTAATTTATCATATTTTGTTATGTTCAATTGGAATCCTCAAAACCTAGAAAGCTTAGCTGCTCCTTCTGAGGATGCTGAGAACTGTGTCTTTATTTATAAATGCAAATGGCTACCGTTTTACAATAAAATGTTGCGTGGGTCATTGGTGACTGTATTTTTGAAGAGTGTAGGCCTTATGAGGTGAGGCTGCCAGTGAAGACCTAGCAGGTCAATCCAGGTTGGAATGAAACGAAGTCTCACACAGGGCTCTGAGGATCCTAGGACGCCTCTGTCCCCTCACCCAGTGGTCTGGGAAGTTGCCCTCCATCGGGGGTTCTTGGAGCTCCTGACACCCAGCCACGGAGTTCAAGTACAGCTGAGATGTCAGCAAGAACGGCCGCATAGACTAAGCTAAGCACACCTTGTTTATGCAACATGCCTGTGTCCCTGCACGTGGGCTGTGCTCACATGGGTGCAGCTGCTGCGAGAGTGCTGCAGGGACTACCAGTAGGCACAGAAGACAAGTTGGTGGCCTGAGCTGCAGGTCTTATGTAAGACCCCCCCTGTCTTATGGCTCCCCAGCCTGCATGGGGTTCCCCTAGGGCAGCCCAGGCCACCTAAAGATGGCTCCACACGTTAGAAAGTTCTTGGTATTGAGTTGCAATCAGCCTGCTATGCCCCTGGGAGTCACAGATTAGGTCTAATCATTCATTTTAAGACTGGCCCTGGCATCAGAAGTCCCTAATTAGGGAACACAGGGGTCCCCTGACAATTTTGGAAGGTTCTGTCTTTGTAGATGAGGCAGTGTGGGGTGGAATAGGAACTGCATTAGACAGAACCAGACCTAGAAAGTTGGTCTCCTGGGAATTCAGTACCTTCTGTTGAGAAATTCCTAAGGGAGTGGGTAAGGTGATGATGATGTGGGTTTGAAGTTTCTAGTAAATCTGCTAATCCTCAATCCTTTGAAAGGGTGTTAGCTATTCACTGATGTGAGATGATACCAGGTTATGTGTCATCAACCGAGATCAGATTAGCGTAACTAAGATTTGTTTACCAGTTTCAGGCAGGGAGACCCCATGGTTAGGTTTCCTCACCTGGGCTCAGGTTCAGGATGTTAAGAGGTGAATCATACTTTACCAGAACCTCAATTTCCTCTTAATTTTGGGAGAAAGTATTTGTTGGAAGTCCATCTCTTTGATGAAATATCCATCAGCTAATTTAACTTCCATTTGGGGGTAACAGTATTTAAGGTAAATATTGCTTCTGTATCACTCTGACTGCCCACCCGCCTGTCCAGGTTATGGCAAGTCTCAACAGCTGTGCTGCTGGAATTCATCCTGAACTTTGATCCCAAATAAACTAGAAAAAAACGAAGTTAGCAAGTGACATTTCACATGATAAAATCTGGGCTTTATTATTTCATATTCAGTAGGTCAATAAAGCTCCCATCCACACCTTACAAGGCTGGTGGGGAGGCGGGGTCATGATCAACCACGGCCTTTTCAAGTTACAAATCAGCAACAGCAGTCCAAAGGTGGCGAACACGTATTTATTGCATCATTGTAAACAGAGAAAATCTTGTCTCCTCTGGACCAGATGCCCAACAGGTTAGAAAAGTATAACTTAGCTCCACTTTGAGGATACGTAGTAAAAAGTGTTAAGCCTCACCTTGGTGTTTTTTAAAGACTTAAGTGTGACACACTATAAGGCATTTCCATGTCACAAATTCTACCATCTTTTTTTTGTAAAAATGCTGCATGTTGTTCTGATTGTGTCTGCAGCTGTGCTGCGATTATGGGAGATACAGTGACTCGCACTGGCCGGAATCTAAGTCTCACTTCCCAGGGATCAGGGCAGTCCAGCCTGGTGCTGCCACAGAGGGTGGTGCCATCAGATGACACCCAGGACCCGCCACATCTTTAGACAGATCTTGTTTGATCCACGGCTGTGACCATGTATTACCACAAATTTAACAATAAAAAATGGTTTTAAGAGTGTCTGAGAAAGGAATAAACAATCATTCCACGTTGTGCCCTTCCCTCGTTTTAAAATAAGCAATGTCCTATGTTTCCATTATTTAAGATTCAGAAGTAAAAACTATTTAAAAAATACATATCCTCAAAAACTCCAGCATTCCTAGTACACAATGCTCTTACTTCTTTGGCAATGCAGAACCTGCAAGCTGACTGTTCAGCCTGGGCCCATGTTATCTCTCCAGGATAAGCGCGTCCTAGGATTTCAATTGGTTCTACAACGTAAGTGAGAGGATTGACCCAAGTATGAAGTCTTAAGTGTCTCACCGTGGGAACCAAGGACTCAAATCCAAAGCCAACGGTCTCACTGTGATTCACCTCTGATGATGTGGCTGGGGGGACTCTAGCAGTGAGCCAAGCTGAGATGTGGCACAAGGCAGGCTGGGGCTCATACCAGCTGAGAGATGGTGAAGGATTCCACAACCAGGGTTGTATTAGCAGCCAGAGCAATGGACAGATGGGAGGGACCTGCAGAGGTCTTAGGTGGAGGCTCCGCCCCACACACAGACAGGTCAGCCCAGATCAAGAGCGCTCAGTGGGCACGGCCTGTCCTCCGGTCAGACACCGTGTGCACCTCCACCCCCGATTTTAAACTGAATATACTTCAAGTCATTGAACTCTCTCTGTGTAAAGAACGGAACAGAGCCAAAGGATGTTTTTGGCTGGTAGGAACCCAGCGCCCCCAAGCCTGCAGCAGGTCTCTGGACTCCTTCAGTTCTGACAGCAGCTTCCCAGGTGCAGGTGCTCTGGGTCAGAAACCACTGCCGGGCCGGCCATGCACAGCTGTTTCCAGGCACTTCTGTCAGTGAGTACATTAAGTGTGAAGGGGATTTTAAAAGTTCACCCTCAGCTGCAAAGAACAGCTGGACTTCTGTCATCTTGCAAAAACGACAAATACACGCCATAGATTCACGTGTTTTCCAAAATCAACTCTAAGATGCTATATCCTCGCTGGGCGAAGTGGCTCATGCCTGAAATCCCAGCTACTCGGGAGGCTGAGGCATGAGAATCACTCAAACCGAAAGGTGGAGGTTGCAGCAAGTTGAGGATTGCACCACTGCGCTCCAGCTTGGACGACAAAGCGAGACGCTGTCTCAAAAAAAAAATAAAAATTAAAAAAAAAAAATTCTATATCACGAAAGTCTAAGGTGCAAACAGGCAAAACTCCAAAGGGTCTTCAGAGTTATCCCAAAAGGCAAGGCCTCTGGTGTGCTGAGCCTCCCGGCTGCCCGCTTCCCCATCTGGATAGGAGCTCAGTGGAAGTCAAGCCGTGACTGCACAGTCTTGCAGCCCTTGTCTGAGTAGATCTTCTCATCTTTGGGGAAAAACGTCATTTCGTCTGCCACACGCGAGACAATGTCTTCATCTATGGCAGAGCCACGGGACCTCATCTCGGCCCTCACACACATTTTCACATGTCTGTACTCCAAGGGCAGGAAGGGGATAAAGTAATCAATGAGGTTTTTGTCGATCAGTCCACTGTGCCACAGGCCACCTGCAGAACAAGACACAGCTGGGTTTCCCACCACCACCGCCACCTGGACAAGCTCCGATCCCAACCCTCAGCATGTTCCTCACATCCGTGCCCCTTGAGAGAGTCTTTCTGTCAGTGTCCAACAAGCCCGTGTGAGACTCAGCTGGACGCTCACTCACTGGTTTCTAGAACAGAATGCCCTAAGAAAATTCCCAACTTTAGCAAAGCCAGCAAGTCCAGTGGGATTCTGTGGCTTTCTGTGGGATTCTGTGAAACAATGAAAGAGAAGACGGCACACTGCCAGGCAGTTAAGGAGCTCCTTCACCCTGGCAGACTCACTGTGTTTATTATTGAAGACTCCGACAGACAGCACAGGTTCCAGGTCCTTCAGCTGAATGTCTTCCCGCTTTCTTCCAGCCCGCCAAAAGTCCAGAGCCGTCTTAGTTATAAGGTCCCCACCTGCATTGCTGAGTTTGCCAGAGAAATAAAGATTAAAATAACATATTAAGAGTTCTGTGTCCTACCAAGAAATGAACCCTTCTAAGATCTTTTTTTTTTTTTGAGATGGAGTCTTGCTCCGTCACCTGACGTTAGTGCAGTGGTGCGATCCTGGCTCACTGCAACCTCTGCCTCCCGGTTCAAGCAATTCCCCTGCCTCAGCCTCCCGAGCAGCTGGGACTACAGGCATGCATCACTATGCCCAACTAATTTTTTGTATTTTACTAGAGATGGGGTTTCACCATGTTGCCAGGAGGGTCTCCATCTCTGGACCTCGTGATCCGCCTGCCTCGGCCTCCCAAAGTGCTGGGATTGAAGGTGTGAGCCACAATGCCCTTTTTTTTTTTTGAGATGGAGTCTTCTCACTCTGTCACCCAGGCTGGAGCGCAGTGATGCAATCTTGGCTCACTGCAACCTCCACCTCCTGGATTCAAGTGATTCTTCTGCCTTAGCCCCCTGCGTAGCTGGGACTACAGGTGCGTGCCACCACGCCCAGCTAATTTTTGTACTTTTAGTAGAGATCGGGTTTCACCATGTGGGCCAGGCCTGTCTCGAACTCCTGACCTCAAGTGATCTGCCCACCTTACCCTCCCAAAGTGCTGGAATCACAGGCGTGAGCCAACATGCCTGGCTGAAGATCTATTTTTCATCAAGGAATATTTACTGAGTGCTACTAGACAAAAAAGTGTCTAATCTCAAGGAACTTAAAATGTTTCTTCACAACTAGCTGGGATAAGGCCTTTATAATCCTAAAAACCAACATGTGCAGTTAATAAAATTACCTTTCATTTCAATTTCATTTTTAGAGTCGGGGTCTCGATGTGTCCCCCAGGCTGGAGTGCAGTGGCATGATCACAGCTCAATCAAACTTGGAACTCCTGGGCTCAACCAATCCTCCTGCCTCAACTTCCCAAGGAGCTGGGACTACAGGCCCATGCCACCATTCCTGGCTAAAATCACCTGCTATCAGCGATTATTTCTTTAGTTCATTTCCCCTGCCCGCACTGTGTGCCATGCTGAGATCAGCAAAGGAGAAGGGAAGCAGTAGGTAAGTGCCTTGTGCCCAGCAGGCACTTCTGTCCTGGTAAAGAAAGTGCTGATGGTGCTGAGGACCTCATTTTATCACTGAGAGAATGAGGTGCTTGCGTTCTCCAAGAAACCACCTCCTGCTGACCTGAGGAAGATGAAGATGGCTTTGCGGTAAGACACTCCGTCAACCTGCTCGTAGTAGTCTAGAAACGGCTTGATTGCGTCAATGATCCCAGGGTGCAATTTGTCCATCTCGTCAAATATGAAAACAGAGTTCGCACACGCACTCACGTTACCGCGAATCCACTTCTGTAACTGGACCTGGACCGGCCGTGAAAGAACAAACAGGACGCGAAGCTCAAAGGGTGCACCGAGAGGCGCACAGGCCGCGTCTGCTCCTCCTGCCCTGGAGGTCGAGGTCACGGCTCTCACAACTGCACCCTCACCCCACTCGCTGCGTACAGAACTGCTCCCTCACCCGCATTCACTGGGCAGCAGCTTTTCCAAAACCTCATCTCTAAAAAGTAGAAATTGGCAGACAGGTGCTAAAGCGCAGGGAAGCTTTTTCCTAACTCAAACAATATATTAAATGTAACCTTTAAAGGTGTAAGAGGTACAAGAACTGTGATTTTTTTTTTTTTTTTTTTTTTTTTTTTGAGACAGTCTCGCTCTGTCCCCCATCCTGGAGTGCAGCAGCACCATCTCAGCTCACCGCGACCTCTACCTCTCCGGTTCAAGCGATTCTCCTGCCTCAGCGCCCCCATATAGCTGTGACTACAGGCGTCCCACACCAAACCTGGCTAATTTTTGTATTTTTAGTGGAGACGGGGTCTTGCCATGCTGACCAGGCTGGTCTCGAACTACTGACATCAGGTGATCCACCCACCTCACCCACCCAAAGTGCTGGGATTATAGGAATGAGCCACACAGCCAGATCCATAAATACTGATCATTCACTGTGAACCTATCCGTAATTTTCATCTGTCTTGGATTGCAGTCTCAAGTCTGTACTGCCACACATCCTGAGGAAGAATGAATTGGATGAAGACCTGCACAGTGCACGGTGCCCCAGACCAACGGAGCTGACTCGACCACAGTTCATGAAAAGCATCTGTTCCAGATGCTTCCCTGAAGCAAACATAAAGGCACTCAAGCAGCCAGCCCTCAACCCAAAAGTGTGAAAGGCTGTACCATGAAGCTCCCCCAGACATGCCCTCATCCATCTCTATCATTCTGTTTCTGAAGATCTATAAAAGAATGCAGAAAACAAGAAAATCCTCCCTTTTTTTTTTTTTTTTTTGGGACGGAGTTTTGTTCTTGTTACCCAGGCTGGAGTGCAATGGCGCGATCTCGGCTCACCGCAACCTCCGCCTCCTGGGTTCAGGCAATTCTCCCGCCTCAGCCTCCTGAGTAGCTGGGATTACAGGCACATGCCACCATGCCCAGCTAATTTTTTGTATTTTTAGTAGAGACGGGGCTTCGCTATGTTGACCGGGATGGTCTCAATCTCTTGACCTTGTGATCCACCCGCCTCGGCCTCCCAAAGTGCTGGGATTACAGGCTTGAGCCACTGCGCCCGGCCTTTTTTTTTTTTTTTTTTTTTTTTTTTCAGACTAGTCAAGTGCAGTAGTGAGAAGGGGGGAAAGAGTAGAACAAGGAGTTTGATCTGTAACTGACTATGAACAATCAACTGAGATAACTCACTACCTTCGGACCAGCCCTCCCTTCCCTTTTGGCAGTCTTCCCTGTCTCATGCCAGTTTGGATGGCAAATATTTCGACTTCCTTGTTCAGTTAAGTTTCTGTTTCTTTTTTCAGTCCCCACCTAACAGGAGGAAATTTTTTTTTTTGATAGAGTCTTGCTCTATCACCCAGACTGGACCGCAGTGACACAACCATGCTTCACTGTAGCCTCGGCCTCCCAGGCTCAAGTGATCCTCCCACCCTGGCCTCCCAAGTAGCTAGGACTACAGGTGCATGCCACCACACCTGGCTAATTTCTTATTTTTTGTAGAGATGGGGTTTTGCTACATTGTCAGTGGGAATGCTAACCTTGACAAGGGCAACGTTCATTTAAATGAGAACTAACCCTCCTAGACAACTTAATATAAAATAAATGTGGAAAGAAGATCTCAAGAGGAGAAACAGTCTCAAGATTCAGTTCTTTGAGGCTTCCTTTGAAGAAAACAATGATAAGGACGTGAAGGATGGGAGGAACAAACGAAATAAAGCTGTCTAGGAGTAAGAAGACCTCTAGGCTACATTGCAGAGAGAGCGCAGAGGCAAAGCTGAGGTGGGCAGAATTGAATGAAGCCATGCCCAAGGAAATTCCTGAAGACTGAATGCCCCTCTCACCAACTGCACTGCTGGGGATGCTGAATGCCTTTACTCACCGGAGAAGGTGGCTACCATGTCTACTGGGAGCGAGGAGATTTTGGTTCAAGTTCCCGCTCTGCCACAAAGATTATAAGGAGTAAGTCACCTTGCCTCTCTTGGCTCCAGGCTCCAGCTCTTCTTTTTTTTTTTTTTTTTTTGAGACAGAATTTCACTTTGTTGCCCAGGCTGGAGTGCAGTGGCACAATCTCAGCTCATTGCAACCTCCACTTCCCAGGTTCAAGCAATTCTCCTGCCTCAGCCTCCCGAGTAGCTGGGATTACAGATGTGGTCCACCACGCCCAGCTGGTTTTGTATTTTTAGTTGAGACAGGGTTTTGCCATGTTAGCCAGGCTGGTCTTGAACTCCTGACCTCAAGTGATCTACCCACCTCAGCCTCCCAAAGTGTTGGGATTACAGGCATGAGCCACTGCGCCCAGCCTTGACCACATCTATCTTCTTCTTTTTTGAGATGGGAGTCCCACTGTGCCGCCCAGGTTGGAGTGCAGTGGTGCAATCTTGGCTCACTGCAACCTCTGCCTCCTGCATTCAAGCCATTCCCCTGCCTCAGCCGCCGAAGTAGCTAGGATTACAGGCACCCACCACCGCGCCTGGCTAATTTTTGTACTTTTAGTAGAGACGGGGTTTCACCATGTTGTCCAGGCTGGTCTCAACTCCTGACCTCAAGTGATCTGCCCGCTTTGGCCTCCCAAAGTGCTGGGATTACAGGCGTGAGCCACCACACCCGGCCCTTGGCTTCATCTTTTCATGGGAATAACGTGCCCTACCCCACTGGACTGTTTTGGAACCGAGTAAGAGAAAGGTTGTAAGAGAGCTTTGTAACTACCTGGACTAAGTGTGCCTTAACTCAGTGGAGCCGGGAGCTATTGCAACACAAAAAAAAGAGAAGCAGAGGCCAGAGTTAGTGAGCAGGTCACCCAGACCAGTCCCAGTGGCCTGTGGACGAGATAATAGCGGGTTCTCTTGCCTGGTACAGTTTTATCTTCTGCTCATGAGGGAAGTGCAGAGTCGATACAAACAGGTGGACAAAGTTACTCTTCAGACCTTTTGGGTGGAGATTTTCAGCCACAATTTGACTGACAAAATTCTTGCCTGTGCCAGCCCAGCCGTGTAAGGAAAGGGTCAGTGGTTTCTTGGGATTTCTGTTGTTCCTGAAGCCAGTCAGCGCCTTGAGAATCACTTCCGTGGCCAGATGCTGTCCAAACAGCTTCTGCTCCAAATCCAGCTTGAGGGCTGCAGGAACGGCCCCAGAACAGAGAGAGAAACAGACGTTAACAATGCATCAGCAATGCAGCACTATCCCAGCTGGTCAAAGCGAGAAGCACCGATTATCCAGGGACACCGCAGGGTGTCTGCCAAACCCTAGGGCCAGCACGACACTGACGCACTGATGCCACTTTCAAGGAAATGCATAATGTGGAGGCCCTTAACGCTTCGGCGTCCGACAGTGAGGCTAAATGCTCATCCATGCAGATAGGAACCATCGCTCGACTGACAGCTTTCTGTTCCCAGCCACCCCTGCTGGCCTGAAGGAAAACCGGGGGCCCAAGGTGGGCTTTGTGGGCAACGCCACACGTCTAAAAGCCACCTAATAGGGTAGGCAAGGCGCAGAAGGGCCGGCCACGGTTACTTTCCGTTTCTTCAGCCTGTGATCCCCAGGAATGGGAACTTCAGAAAGGCGCTGGGCAGAGGCCCACGATCTGGAGGCGGGTTGCGAAGGCACTGCTTCCAGGGCTGGAGTCCGGACCGCGTTTCCGCGGACGGTGGAACGGTTTCCAGGGCCGCCGCCTCTGCTCCCCGCCCACTCCAGCCGGGACCACCGCCGTCTAGAGGCCGCGCGCCCGCCCCTCCGCGCGCCCGCGCCCCGCCAGGGGTCACAGAGGCCCCGGCGCCCCCAGCAGCACCGACCCGCCGCTCGCGCGCAGCGTACCCGAAGCGTTGAGCGGCCGCTCCTCGTGGCAGCACTCGGCGAAGCGGCAGTAGATGTCATTGTAGGTCAGGTAGCCAGTGATGACTGACGCGGCCCCGATGGCGAGACCCACGGTCACGGGCTCGAACGCCGCCACCACTCGGGCCGCCAGCAGCAGCGCCAACGCAGCGTCGCCCCGGAGCCGCCCGGCCTGCAACATCCCCCCGCACCTGGCAGCCCGCAGCCCAGAGCCGCCGCCGAGCTCGGGGACCCTTGGCCGACGGGCAGGACGGACTTCCGCTGTGCGTCACTTCCGCCCCTCATACCGGCTTAGCCCCCTGGGGGCGGCCATGTTGGTGAGGGACGGAGAGGAGGGCGATGCTATTATCCTTGTGAAGTGGCTCGAAGGTGTCGGTGACTCTTTTGTTTTCCTTTTCTTTCTTTTAAAAATTTTCTTAAAACTTTCTTATTTTCTTTTCTCGTCATATATATATATAATTTTGGGGACAGGGTCTGGCTCTGTCTCCCCGACTGGAGTGCAGTGGCACGATCTCGGCTCGCTGCAGCCACCGCCTCCCGGATTCAAGCGATTCTCCGGCCTCAGCCTCCCGAGTAGCTGGGACTACAGGGATGCGCCACCATGTCCGGCTGATTTTTGTGTTTTTAGTAGAGACGGGGTTTCGCCATGTGGCCCAGGTTGGTCTCGAACTCCTAACCTCAAGCGTTGCAGCCGCCTCGGTTTTCCAGAGCCTGGGGTTACAGGCGCGGGCTCATGCCTGAGTTTGTTTTCTTGAGAGCTTCTCCGAGCCCTCAAGCTTTGCTTTGTCATCCCTCCCTTCACTTCCCGGGAGCTATCTGGTGCATTTCTCGCGTCTGCCCACCCTCCGCCTGCCTTCTTCCTGAAACAGTTTATAAGCTCTCCGTGCTGGGCCGTAGGCTGAGCACTGGGGATGCAGCGACACCAAGACAGACCTGCCCAGGTTTCCACACTCAAACCCCACGGTCCATTCTTTCATTCAGCGCTAGGTGGCAGGCCCCTTGCTGGATGGCAGGAATGACAGCGGGCAAATGAATAGAAGTTGGCCGTGGGAAGTGTCTCAAACTCTTTTTTTTTTTTGAGACAGAAGCCCACTCTGTTGCCCAGACTGGAGTGCAGAGGCATGGGCTCTGCTCACTGCAGCCTCTGCCTCCTAGGTTCAAGCAATTCTCCTGTCTCAACCTCCCTAATAGCTGAGATTACACATGTGCACCACAAAGCCCAGCTATTTTTTGTATTTTTAGTAGAGACGGGGTTTTGCCATGTTGGCCAGGCTGGTCTTGAACTCCTGATCTCAAGTGATCCTCCTTCCTCAGCCTCCCAAAGTGCTGAGGTTACAGATGTGAGCCCCTTCACCTAGCCCACAAACTTTTTATAAGTAATTAAATAACTAAAGATGTTTGGAAAATGTATCTCTCTCTCTCTCTTTTTTTTCAGATGGAGTCTTGCCCTGTCACCCAGACTAGAGTGCAGTGGCATGATCTTGGCTCACTGCAACCTCTACCTCCAGGGTTCAACTGATTCTCCTGCCTCAGCCTCCTGAGTAGATGGGATTACAGGTGCCTGCCATGATGCACAGCTAATTTTTGTATTTTTAGTAGAGACAGGGTTTCACCATATTGATCAGGCTGGTCTCAAACTCCTCACCTCAGGTGATCCACTCACCTCAGCCTTCCAAAGTGCTGGGATTACAGGCGTGAGCCACCGTGCCTGGCCAGAAAATCTGTCTCTTAATAGGATGGATGGAGATTCTCTTTTTCTTTTCCATTTACTTCATATGTCCACAGGAGGAAATTACAAAGAGACTTTTCCCTTTCCGGGCATCTCCAGAAAGGGGAGATGAGAAGGAGCATGGGGCGGCTGGGGCCACTGGTGCCACGGCCAGGGAGGAAAGAGGTTGTTTCTAGAATTAGGATCCTTAGAGTGATCCACTCTTTTTTTTTTTTTTTTTTTTTTTTTTTTGAGAGAGAGAGTTTTGCTCTTGGTACCCACGCTGGAATGCAATGGTTCGATCTCGGCTCACCGCAACCTCCGCCTCCTGGGTTCAAGCAATTCTCCTGCCTCAGCCTCCCGAGTAGCTGGGATTACAGGTGCGTCCCACCATGCCCAGCTAATTTTTGTATTTTTAGTAGAGACAGGGCCAGAGTGTTCCACTCTTATGCACGCTTGGGAAGTCTTCGCCTACCTCAGAGGGTCACATACTCCAGGCTAAAGAGGGCTAGCCTAGGGCAGGGAAAGTCCCACCACAAGGAATGTCACCACCACTGCCTGAAAAAGGCAGGCTGTGCCAGCCCCTCTCCCAAGGCCATGTAACCAGCAGCCTGGCACCCAGTGCTGCGCTGTCTAATGGAAACGCTTCTCCAGCAGGCCCTGAGGACTGAGAGGCTGCCTTGGGCGAGTCCAGCATGTTTGTGAGGGTGCAGCCACAAGGGACACAGGGGCAGCTCTGCTGTCTCCAGGGGCTTTGCAGCATCAGAAGTTGGGAGGGAGAAATTGTAAATTGAAATTGTAAATCACAGCCTGGTTTGTTCCCTCTCTTCCTAGCTGAGTGGCTCTGGAAATGTGATGCTACCCTTCTGAACTCTGTTTCTCTATCTGTAAAGTGGGGAACACAATAGTCCCTTCTTGGGGTTGTTGGGGTACCAGTGAGCTGGCGCATGCAGAGTACTTAGCACTGCCTACAGTAAGAGTTCGGTAGGATCCATTTGCTGGGACTATCATCTCCTTTGACCCTCTCAACCATCCTGTGAAATTCACAAGTCAGGAGAGACAGTTTAGCTCACAAAGGAAATATTTGTTGTCTTTAAGGATTATACTGAGGTGCTGGCAGGATTTGATGAGTGGTGTTTAGCTAGATCTGGAATTACAAAAGCTCAGTATCTTATATTCATCAAACAAAATACACACAATGCCTGCAAGACACAAGTGGACTGGTGCCATGGTCAAGCTCCACTGTGATGGTGGTAAGAGGTGGGGCCTTTTCTGAGGTGATTAGGCCAAGAGGGCTCTACCCTCATTAATGGAATTTATGCCCTTATAAAAAGGGCATGAGGGGCTGGGCACCATCTATCACAGCATTTTGGGAGGCAGGTGGATCACTTAAGGCCAGGAGTTCAAGACCAGCCTGGCCAACATGATGAAACCCTGTCTCTACTAAAAAATATGAAAATTAGCCGGGTGTGGTGTTGGGTGCCTGTAATCCCAACTGCTCAGGAGGCTGAAGCAGGAGAATCAGTTGAACCTGGGAGATGGAGGTTGCAGTGAGCAGATGTCATGCCACCGCACTCCAGCCTGGGCAACAGAGTGAGATTCTGTCTCAAAAAAAAGGCTTGAGGGAACCAGGTAGACCCTTCCACTTTCCGCCTTGTGAGGACACAGCAAGAAGGCAGCTTTCACCAGGCACCAAATCTGCTGGCATCTTGATCTTGGGCTCCCCATCCTCCAGAACTGTGAGAAAGAAATTTCTTTCTTTCTTTCTTTCTTTTTTTTTTAAAATAAGATGGGTTTTTGCCATGTTGCTCAGGCTGGTCTCGAACTCCTGAGCTCAGGCAATCCACCACCTCGGCCTCCCAAAGTGCTAGGATTACAGGCGTGAGCCACTGCACCCAGCCATAAATTTATTTTTCTTTCTTTTTTTTAAATTTATAATTAAAAAAAAAATATATATATATATATATATATGGAACACTTAATGGATTGGCGTGTCATCCTTGCGCAGGGTCCATGCTAATCTTCTCTGTATCGTTCCAATTTTTAGTATATGTGCTACTGAAGCGAGCACCATAAATTTCTTTAAAAAAAAAAAAATTTGACCAGGTGTGGTGGCTTGTGCCTATAATCCTAGCACCTTGGAAGACTGAGGCAGGTAGATCACTTGAGGCCAGGAGTCTGAGACCAGTGTAGCCAACATGGCAAAACCCTGTCTCTACTAAAAATATAAAAGGAGGCTGAGGCAGGAGAATCACTTCAACCAGGGAAGTGGAGGTTGCAGTGAGCCCAGATGATGCCACTGCACTCCAGCCTGGGCTGCAGAGTAAGACTCTGTCTCAAACTAACAAAAACTTTGTAACCCATTTATGTTATTTTGAGCAATTGTATACTAAAAATAATCCAAAAGAAATATTTAGGCCAGGCGCGGTGGCCCACGCCTGTAATCCCAACACTTTGGGAGGCTGAGGTGGGTGGATCACGAGGTCAAGAGATCGAGACCATTCTGGTCAACATGGTGAAACCCCGTCTCTACTAAAAATACAAAAAATTAGCTGGTCATGGAGGTGCACGCCTGTAGTCCCAGCTACTCGGAAGGCTGAGGCAGGAGAATTGCTTGAACCCAGGAGGCGGAGGTTGTGGTGAGCTGAGATTGCGCCATTGCACTCCAGCCTGGGTAACAAGAGCGAAATTCCATCTCACAAAAAAAAAAAAAAAAGAAATATTTAGTACTTAGGGCTTTGTGGTCACCAAAAAACTATGTTAAGTTTTATAGTTTTAGGCTGCACCCGGCCTATATTAGGTTTTAATTTGTAGGATATACATATCTCTGTTGCAGAGAAATAAGATAGTATGATCAATAAGACTGTTAGGCAAAAAAACAACCAAACAAAAACCTTTCATTCACATGACATTTGATGAGAGTGGAGTGGAAATATGGGTTCTAGTACAAAAAAGATCATAGCATCTGACTTGTTCATATGTTTGATACATGGCTGATGGGCGGTTCAATTGCTATGACATCTAGATTCCACTGAGTAACTAGAAGAGCGATGCAACAGTGTTATCCTTTATTTTTTTATTTTTTATTTTTTTTTGAGATGGAGTCTTGCTCTGACGCCAGGCTGGAGTGCAATGTCACAATCTCGGCTCACTGCAACCTCCGCCTCCTGGGTTCAAACGATTCTTCCGCCTCAGCTTCCCAAGTAGCTGGGACCACAGGTGTGTGCCACCACGCCCGGCTAATTTTTTTTTTGTATTTTTAGTAGAGATGGGGTTTCGCCACGTTGGCCAGGATGGTCTCGATCTCTTGACCTCGTGATCTGCCCACCTCAGCCTCCCAAAGTGCTGGGATTACAGGCATGAGCCACCGTGCCTAGCCAACAGTGTTATCTTAAAGTGCAAAAATCAAGTCTTTTCTGATCATTTAAACTCACAATGGGCCAGGGGAGGTGACTCACACCTGTAATCCCAGGACTTTGGGAGGCGGATCACCTGAGGTCAGGGGTTTGAGACCATCCTGGCCCAATATGGTGAAACCCCGTCTCTACTAAATATACAAAAATTAGCTGGGCATGGTGGTGCACACCTGTAGTCCCAGCTACTGGGGAGGCTGAGGCAGGACAATCGCTTGAATCCAAGAGGCAGTGGTTGCAGTGAGCCGAGATCAGGCCACCGCATTCCAGCCTGACGACAAAGTGAGTCTCTGTCTCAGAAAAACAAAAAAAATTCTGAATCAAGTCATCATTCCAATTATTACAGCTTACCAAAATCGCACTGATATGTTTGTGTGTTTAGAGACAGGCTCTCACCTTGTCACCCAGGCTGGAGTGCAGTGGTGTGATCACGGCTCACGGCGCTTCAACCTCAGAGGCAAAAGTGATCCTCCCACCTCAACCTCCTGAATAACTGGGACTATAGGCGTGTGCCACCATGCCCAGCTAAGTTTTTATTTTTTGTAGAGATGGGGTCTCATTGTGCTGCCCAGGCTGGTCTCGAACTCCTGGGCTCAAGCAATCCTCCTGCTTCAGCCTCTGTTGGAATTACAGCCGTGAGCCACCATGCCCGGTGAAGGTAACTTTGAATAGCTTTTGATGTCTCACTTGGATTAGGAGCCACTGCTCTGCCCTGGGTGGTGGTGGTGGTGGGATATTGGCCTCTGTCACCCCTCCATTGGTTGGTCTGAGGCATTAGCTTCCCAGGGTGCTGGGTCTGATCTCTTGGAGGTAGTTGGTCCCCAGGGAGGTCCAGGTGACATTGGCTTAGCTGCTTTGTTACTTTGGATGGGTGATGGGAAGCGGGGTGCCTCCCTGCATTTTCTCCACATGGGCTCAGTAATCGATCCCCAGTCCCCACATTTCCCTAAGCACCTGCTGTCCATCTCCCACTCGCTCAGTGGCCAATTATTCCATCAGTTCAGGTTCTTTGTTTCCAAGCAACAGAAGCTGCCCCTGACTTGGGCTTTTGTAGGACTTGTTAGAGGAACTCAGGGTGACTCTCAAAAATGTGAAAATGAGGTCAACATCTCAGGACGAGCAGGGTCCCTGGGGGTGTCAGGTAGGACTCAGTGGCAGGAGTTGGGGGCCCTGTTGCTGGGGCATTGCCAACAGGAGGTTCAGGTTTGGCAGCTTCCCATACCTGCACGCTTGGTTCAACTTCAAGTTTGCAGAGAGAGGATGTGATCAGCTCAACGGTTGACCTTGGATCAAGGAGCCAGGGCTGGGGGTCATTGTGCCTGGGTCTCTCTGCCCCTAGTTTGTGCTACTCTAATTACTTGGATAACATTTTGTTCCCTTAAAAGTGTGGGTATTAGCCGGGCACGGTGACTCATGCCTGTAATCCCAGCACTTTGGGAAGCTGAGGTGGATGGATCACCTGAGGTCAGGAGTTCAGGACCAGCCTGGCCAACATGGCAAAACCCCACCTCTACTAAAAATACCAAAATTAGCTGGGTGTGGTAGTGGGCACCTGTAGTCCCAGCTACCTGGGAGGCTGAGGCAGAGGAATCACTTGAACCCCAGGAGGTAGAGGTTGCAGTGAGCTGAGATCGTACCACTGCACTCCAGCCTTGGGGAAGGAGCAGTACTCTGTCTCAAACAAAACAAAACAAAACGGGGTTAAATACTGTTTTCAGCCTTAGCCCACCTGTACCCAGGTGAATAAACAGCCATGTTGCTCACACAGAGCTTGTTTTGAGGGGGGTTTCTTCATTCAACACACACGTTTTAAAATTTGGTGCCAAAAAAAAGAAAAAAGAAAAAGAAAAAAAACGTGTGGGTGTTTTCCTGATTTATCATTTGATCATTTATCTCAAAGCTTGCCACTGAAATCCATGGAGCATGGGAAGACAGCAGCAGGGTAAAGGGCCTTCAGACCCTCACAGCGAGTGCTCTGGGTGGCCCCAGCAATTGCTCCGTTCCCGCCAACTACGTAACGATCCTCACATTGTTTTGTGCCCCGTTCCTCCTATTTTATTTTATTTTTTGAGACTGAGTCTCACTCTGTCGCTCAGGCTGGTGTGCAGTGGCACAGTCTCTGCTCACTGCAACCTCTGCCTCCCAGATTCAAGCAATTCTCCTGCCTTATCCTCCTGAGTATCTGGGATTATAGGCACATGCGACTATGCCCAACTAATTTTTTTTTTTTTCTTAGTGAGAGTCTTGCTCTGTTGCCCAGGCTGGAGTGCAGTGGCACGACCTCGGCTCACTGCAAACTCCACCCCCGGGGTTCAAGTGATTCTCCTGCATCCACCTCCCAAGTAGCTGGGATTACAGGAGCCCACCACTATGTGTGGCTAATTTTTGTATTTTTAGTAGAGATGGGGTCTCATCATATGGGCCAGGCTGATCTCAACCTCCTGACCTTGTGATCTGCCCATCTCAGCCCCTCCGAAGTGCTGGGATTACAGGTGTAAGCCACTACACCCGGCCATGCCTGACTAATTTTTTGTATTTTGAGTAGAGACAGGGTTTCACTGTGTTAGCCAGGATGGTCTCGATCTCCTGACCTCGTGATCTGCCCATCTTGGCTTTCCAAGGTGTTGGGATTACAGGCATGAGCTACCGTGCCTGGCCCATTCCTCCTCTTTTAAAAGAGTTAACAATTTTTTCCTTTTCCAGTTTTTATTTTTGAGACAGGGTCTGGCTCTGTTGCCTGGGAAGAGTGCAGTGGCTCAATCTTGGCTCACTACAACCTCCGACTTCTAGGCTCAAGCTATTCTCCCACATCAGCCTCTCAAGTAGCTGGAACTACAGGCGTGCACCACCACACAAATATTTTTAAACAAAACAACATATATTTCTTTTTTTTTGTTTTTTGTTTGAGACGGAGTTTCGCTCTTGTTACCCAGGCTGGAGTGCAATGGCGTGATCTCGGCTCACCGCAACCTCTGCCTCCTGGGTTCAGGCAATTCTCCTGCCTCAGCCTCCTGAGTAGCTGGGATTACAGGCACGTGCCACCACGCCCAGCTAATTTTTTGTGTCTTTAGTAGAGATGGGGTTCACCATGTTGACCAGGATGGTCTCGATCTCTTGACCTTGTGATCCACCCGCCTCGGCCTCCCAAAGTGCTGGGATTACAGGCTTGAGCTACCGTGCCCGGCAACAACATATATTTCAAATCAACAAAAGTTAGTATAATTTATAGTACCTTTTAAAAAATTCTCACACATTTACAGGTGACATTTGTAGTATCTTAAGATAATTAGCCCTTGGGCTGGGCATGGTGACTCATGCCTATAATCCCAGCACTTTGGAAGGCTGAGGCAACGGATCTCCTGAGGTCAGGGGTTCAAGACCAGCCTGGCCAACATGGCAAAACCCCAGCTCTACTAAAATTAGCTCTACTATAAAAATTAGCTAGGCATGGTGGCACGTGCCTGTAGTCCCAGCTACTCAGGAGGCTGAGGCAGGAGAATTGCTTGAAGCCAGAGGCAGAGGTTGCAGTGAGCCTACTCGTGCCACTGCACTCCAGCCTGGGTGACAGAGATTCCATCTCAAAAAATAAATAAATAAATAAAAATAAAAGAAAAAAAGAAAGATAATTTGCCCTTGAGTGATAACTTCCTTTTCAGTT